TTTGAACCATGCTGCCTTTGACAGGAAGGAGGTCAGAGCATTCCCACAGCACATGCACCCCCCATCCCCAACCCTGCTCCTGTGTTGTGGGGAGATGGGCCAGGTCTGTTGTTGGGGGCCCTCGCAGGGGAGCCTCAGCCAGTACCATCCCTATTCCCAGGTGTCCCCAGTCCTATATAGGCCAAGAGGACCAGACTTCAAGCAAGATATATGGAAGTTGAATAGGTCTCATAGGGTTCCTTATTCCACCCTGTCTTTTTGTACAGATCAGGAAGCAAAAGCCCAAGGTCACACAGCCTGTCAGAGGCCCTGAATCTTACCAGGTGAAGACTTGCCTGCCCATCAAAGACAAAGCATGCCAGAGGCCCCCTAGCGGTGCAGACAAGAAGTGCTCAAGGTTCAGAGAAGGGAAAAAATACCCACCTGCTTAGTAGGCTGAGCCTGGGAAAAAAAGAGGAGAGGCTGCTAGATGGGGGACCTCTGGGCAAAGGCTTGGTAGTAGGACATGTTGCCGTGTGCATCATCATGGAGACCCACCCCCTGCCCATACATGAGGTCAGTCCATGTGAGCCCCTCCGCTTGCTCACCCTGTCACCTCCTGAGACCAACCATTCTGTTGCTGAGCTGTTCTGACAGTTGTAGTTCTTCCTGCTCCTGAGCTGAAATTCAGCCTGCCTGAGCCTCCACCACTGGTCAGAGTTCTGCTGCCTGAAGCCTCCAGAATGAATATTGGCCCTGGCCTCAGCCACTGGTGCTGTTAAATCACTTGCCTCTCTCAAAGGTTTCCCCATGGGAAATCTCCTACTGATCCTTCAGAACCCACTCAGACCCTCCCTCCTCTAGGAGGTCATCCGTCTTCTCCAGGCAAAGTTTATTCCCTCTTTCATTCCTGTTTCCAACCAGCATCTATCAGGCACCTACTAGCTGCCAGGCATTTGCACATGCTGGGTGGATTAAGCAACAAAACACCTGCTCTGGTGAAGCTGAAAGTCTAGGAGGGAGGGAGGGAGAAAAATGCATCAACTAATGCACAAAATGATAGCTGGGCTTCGCCCCCCACCGCCAAAATTCTAACCAAAGTTTACACGTTACATTTAGCAGTGATGTGTCTTTGGCCTCTTTTAATGTAGAACAGTCATCTCCATCCTGCCTTTCTTGTCATTTTTAAAATGATAACTTTTTAAAGTGACCAACCAGGCCAGTTATCTTGTAGAATGTTCTACATTGTAGATGAATCTTAAGTTTCCCTCATAGTGTTGTTTACCTTATTCCTTGAAACCTTTTATCTCTTATAACTGGAAGCTAGATTGAGAGCAGGAGTTAGCCAATTTTTTCTGTGACGGACCAGGAAGTATTTTTGGTTTTGCAGATCATACAGTATCTGTTGCAACTACTCAATCTTGTCATTATAGCATGAAAG